ACTGTCAAAGGCCTTCCTGCAGTCTAGGAAAACGCAATCTACCCACCCCTCTCTCTCGTGTCTTACTTCTGTTACCTTGTCATAAAACTCCAGGAGGTTTGTGATACAAGATTTGCCTTCCATGAACCCATGCTGGTTTTCATTTATAATCTTGTTCCTTTCCAGGTGTTCGACCACTCTCCTCCTGATAATCTTCTCCATGACTTTGCACACAATACATGTCAGAGAGACAGGTCTGTAGTTTAGTGCCTCGTTTCTGTTTCCTTTCTTAAATATGGGGACTACATTAGCTGTCTTCCATTTCTCAGGTAGTTGCCCAGTTTCAAGGGATGTGTTGAAGATTGTGGTTAGAGGCACACACAGCATCTCTGCTCCTTCTCTAAGGACCCATGGGGAGATGTTGTCCGGTCCCATCGCCTTTGAGGTGTCAAGGTCACTTAAAGAGCTTCTTCACCTCCTCCTCAGTTGTTCGTATGTCATCCAACACTTGTTGGTATATTCCCTCTTGATGTTCCCTTCTGTGCTGTGTTCCCACAGCCCTTCCTGTCTCTACTGTATAAACTTCCTTAAATCTCCTGTTCAGCTCCTCACATACCTCCTGATCATTTCTTGTGAGTTCTCCACCTTCTGTCCTTAATCTGATCACCTGGTCTTTGACTGTTGTCTTCCTCCTGATGTGGCTATACAGCAGTTTCGGGTCAGTCTTGATTCTCGATGCTATGTCATTTTCATACTGCTAAAACTTCCACTACATCATTTGAGGCATTTAGCAGTTCTGTGCAAACAAGTGACTCTGCAATGTACAGGCCAACCCCCCCCCCCTTTTGCCTGTTCACTCTCACATCTGTATAGGTTGTAACCTGGGATCCATATTTCGTTGTCCAAGTGATCCTTTATGTGGGTCTCAGTGAAAGCCGCGAACATTGCCTTTGCCTCTGCAAACAGTCCACGGATGAAAGGTATTTTGTTTGTTGCTGGCTTTAGACCCTGTATATTTGCAAAGAAAAATGTTATCGGACTGGTGGTATTGTTGGTACTGGGGGGGGGGGATTTTTTTTCCGGCATTAGTATCTATCTGTTGGTTTGGAGTGGAGGCCATCGACTGTGGTTCCACTCCAGGAGTGACTGGATTTGGTGTACGATTTCTGCCATTTCCTGCCAGTTTTTTTTCCTTCCTGGCACTAAAAAACCTCTCCCTCTTGGGTGGCTGTGGCTACCCAGGTTTTCCCATGGCCTGGATGTTTTGTATCTTTTTGTCCCCTTTAGATGGTATGCCTGGCAATTTAAGTTATAGCACAGTCTTTCCTGTACTGAAGAGGTACACAGTTCAGGGTGAAAAAGCTTACAGGAAGGGAGTTTGCATTTTCCTGTTGTCATATGGGCATGGCATTTTCTAGGGTGGTCATAGTTGCACGTCCCATCTGTTTTTCCAGATTTCCCATGCCAGCAGATACCGAGTGCATAGTATGTGCACAGGCTTGGTTTCCGTTTGCCTTGGGTTTCTGTGACTGTATTCCCTGTTGGTGCATGTTTCCCTGTCTTACTTCTATCCTCCCTAGCACCAACAATGGAGCTCCCACCATTTGTTTTTGGTAATATATCCTCACTATTGCTAGTGGAGTCCTCTTGTTTGCTATTTCCTGCGGTATTTCTAGTTTGCAATATTGGTTTTCTTATCTTTGACTACACTTGTTTCCCTACTATGGCTCCTGTCCCCTATGAGGTCATTTATATGTATTCCTTCCTGCGTATAATTCCCGACTACCTGGACAAAATCTCCAGCTTCACCATTACTGTCTCCCAGGACAGCACCTCCAGCTTCACCATTACTGTCTCCCAGGACAGCACCTCCAGCTTCACCATTACTGTCTCCCAGGACAGCACCTCCAGCTTCACCATTACTGTCTCCCAGGACAGCACCTCCAGCTTCACCATTACTGTCTCCCAGGACAGCACTATCAGCCCCCCATTTACTGACTAGTGTCTAATGGACATTTGCCTAGGACAAAATGGTAACTAACACAGACAGGCTGTTAGAGATGACAGAAACAAGGGGTCACAATTGGAACTTGAAGACTCTGATGAGTCACAGGAATGTTAGGAAGTATTTCTTCAGAGTTGTCAGGAAGTGGAACAGTCTCAAAAGTGAGGTAGTGGAGGCAGGATCCATACTTAGCTATAAGACGACGTATGATAAACCTCATGGAGCAGAGGGGGGGAACCTAGTGGCGGGGCCAGGAGCTGCGAGTCGATCCCTGCAACCACAACTAGGAGAGTACACACACACACACACACACACACACACCGAAGGTGTAGGGAGGCAAAAACTAAGTGCAACAGAGAATGGAAAAGGTACAGGAGGCATAGGACCCAGGAAAACAAGGAGATTAGTAGAAGAGCCAGAAACGAGTATGCGCAGATAAGGAGGGAGGCCCAGCGACAGTATGAAAACGACATAGCATCGAAAGTCAAATCTGACCCGAAACTGCTGTATAGCCACATTAGGAGGAAGACAACAGTCAAGGACCAGGTGATAAGGCTGAGGAAAGAAGGTGGAGAACTCACAAGAAATGATCAAGAGGTACGTGAGGAGCTCAACACGAGATTTAAGGAAGTATTTACAGTAGAGACAGGAAGGACTCTGGGGGGACAGGCCAGATGGGGACACCAACAAGTGTTGGACGACATACATACAGATGAGGAGGAGGTGAAGAAACTGCTAAGGGACATCGATACCTCAAAGGCAATGGGACCGGACAACATCTCCCCATGGGTCCTTAGAGAAGGAGCAGAGATGCTGTGTGTGCCTCTAACCACAATCTTTAACACATCCCTTGAAACTGGGCAACTACGTGAGAAATGGAAGACAGCTAATGTAGTCCCCATATTTAAGAAAGGAAACAGAAACGAGGCACTAAACTACAGACCTGTGTCTCTGACATGTATTGTGTGCAAAGTCATGGAGAAGATTATCAGGAGGAGAGTGGTCGAACACCTGGAAAGGAACAAGATTATAAATGAAAACCAGCATGGGTTCATGGAAGGCAAATCTTGTATCACAAACCTCCTGGAGTTTTATGACAAGGTAACAGAAGTAAGACACGAGAGAGAGGGGTGGGTAGATTGCGTTTTCCTAGACTGCAGGAAGGCCTTTGACACAGTTCCCCACAAGAGATTAGTGCAGAAGCTGGAGGATCAGGCACACGTAAAAGGAAGGGCATTGCAATGGATAAGGGAATACCTGACAGGGAGGCAGCAACGAGTCATGGTACGTGAAGAGGTATCACAGTGGGCGCCTGTTACGAGCGGGGTCCCACAGGGGTCAGTTCTAGGACCAGTGCTCTTTTTGATATATGTGAACGACATGATGGAAGGAATAGACTCTGAAGTGTCCCTGTTCGCAGATGACGTGAAGTTGATGAGAAGAATTAAATCGGACAAGGATGAGGCAGGACTGCAAAGAGACCTGGAGAGGCTGGACATGTGGTCCAGTAACTGGCTTCTCGAATTCAATCCAGCCAAATGCAAAGTCATGAAGATTGGGTTGGGGCAAAGAAGACCACAGACAGAGTATAGGCTAGGTGGACAAAGACTACAGACCTCACTCAGGGAGAAAGACCTTGGGGTGACCATAACACCGAGCACATCACCGGAGGCACACATCAACCAAATAACCGCTGCAGCATACGGGCGCCTGACAAACCTGAGAATAGCGTTCCGATACCTTAATAAGGAATCGTTCAAGACACTGTACACTGTATGTTAGGCCCATACTGGAGTATGCAGCACCAGTCTGGAACCCACACCTGGTCAAGCACGTCAAGAAGTTAGAGAAAGTACAAAGGTTTGCAACAAGGCTAGTCCCAGAGCTCAAGGGACTGTAAGAAGGCATTTGACACAGTTCCACACAAGAGATTAGTGCAAAAGCTGGAGGACCAGACAAGAATAACAGGTGAGGCACTGCAATGGATTAGGGAATACTTGTCAGGAAGACAACAGCGAGTCATGGTACGTGGCGAGGTGTCAGAGGGGGCACCTGTAACGAGCGGTGCCACAGGGGTCAGTCCTAGGACCAGTGCTGGTTTCTGGTATTTGTGAACGACGTGACGGAAGGAATAATTCCGAAGTGTCCCTGTTTGCAGATAATGTGAAATTGATGAATTCAGTTGGACGAGGACCAGGCAGAACTACAAAGATCTGGACATGCTGCAGGCCTGGTCCAGCAACTGGCTCCTGGAGTTCAACCCCACCAAGTGCAAACTCTTGAAGATTGGGGAAGGGCAAAGAAGACAGACTGAGTACAGTCTAGGGGGGGGGGGGCCAGATACTACAAACCTCACTCGAGGAAAAGGATCTTGGAGTGAGTATAACACCGGGCACATCTGAGGTGCACATCAACCAAATAACTGCTGCAGCATACGGGTGCCTAGCAAACCTAAGAACAGCATTCCGACATCTTAAGGAATCGTTCAGGACCCTGTACATTGTGTATGTTAGGCCCATATTGGAGTATGCAGTTTGAAACCCACATCTAGCCAAGCATGTAAGGAAACTAGAGAAGTGCAAAGGTTTGCAATAAGACTAGTCCCGGAGCTAAGGGGTATGTCCTACGAGGAGGTTAAGGGAAAACGACCTGACGACACTGGAAGATAGGACAGATGAGGGGGGATATGATAACAACGTATAAAATACTGAGGAATCGACAAGGTGGACAGACAGGATGTTTCAGAGATGGGACACAGTTGGAAGTTGAAGTCTCAGATGAATGACAGGGATGTTAGGAAGTATTTCTTCAGTCACAGGGTTGTCAGGAAATGGAATAGTCTGGGAAGTGATGTAGTGGAGGCAGTATCCATACATAGCTTTAAGAAGAGGTATGATAAAGCTCCTGGAATAGGAAGAGTGACCCAGTAGCAGCCAGTGAAGAAGCTGGGCCAGGAGCTGTGACTAGACCCCTGCAACCACGACTGAATACACATTTTTTTTTTTTTTTTTTTCAGAGCTGCGGTGGATGACGTCTGAACAGACTCCCCGAGGTGAAGAAATTCATCCACGAGGATATTCCCTTTTTGTATCCTTTCTAACTTGACTATTTAAATGTTACTGTATACAAGTCAAAAATATTAATAAAAGTGGATAGTTCTTTTTAAAATTTAACTAATTTTTTACTATTAACAGGTGTGGCCGCTAAGGAATTAGTGGTTCAGTGGAACCTCAAAAATCGAACTGCTCCCAACACAACCAATTATGTAAGTGTATTTTTGTAAGTGCTTTTATAAGTGTATTTTTGAGGGTCTGAAATGGGCTAATCTAATTTACATTATTCCTGATGGGAATAAATTCATTCGGTAAAGGCACTCTAACAGCCTTCTGGACCGAAGAAAGTTCGATATTTGAGGTTCCACTGTATGTCTATTGTATCTTGGCAGAAAATTTGTTCATTAAATTTTGCTCTGAAATATATTGCTGCAGTTTAGATCACACTATACAAATTTCTTCCTTAACTAGACTATTAGCCACAATGTGAGATATCAGCCTATTGGTGGTGCTCCCCCAGAGTTGGTACTGCTCAATAAATTTGACAAGGTTTGTTTGTTTTTTGTTATCTTCACAAATGTGTGCTAATCCTGTCATACATAGTACGTACATTAATTTTTGTAGTCATAAGGTTTTCATGAAGTTTACACTAAATATTAGTGTAAACTTCATGAAACCCCTCTACTTGCTACACGAAACATTAGTGTAGCAAGTAGAGGGTAATATTTGAAAATGGAAAATTATTATTTTAGCTTTAATTCAATGGGTAGACACTGTTGCATTTTTAATTATTTCTGTCCAAAGGAAGTAGAGCGCATTCCTCTGGAGAAGCTTAACCGCGAAGAATGCAACCAGCTGCTGCTGAAGAAAGGCTTCTACAAGAAGACTACCAAAGAAGAGGAAGTACCAGAAGAGTACCTCAATGGCCCTTATAGGGAAAGGGAAGAGCTCTAGATGAATTTTTAACCATTGTGTCCATTAATGTTAAATTAAATTTTAAGATTGCTTAGTTTCTTTTAGTTTTTAAGATATTTAACTGATGCTTATGACACTGCTCAAATTTCAATATTATGAACCTACTATGAAAGGGGTGGTGTAAAGGGCTAATGGCTCGCATTACTCTTGGAAGCTGCAAGGGTTAGATATTGTTTGTGCTTGTGTTGTCAAAGTACATTCAAAATTTTGTAGTTTGAATAAAAAAAAAAAAAAAAAAACACTGAAGAGTTTTTCTACCTTCTATCTAGCTCTTTTGAATGCACAAAAATTTTAATTGCCTGTGTAAATGTATTTACCTAAGAAAAATAGTGCAGTAGCATACTTGTTTTGTAGATGGATTTTCAGTGCCTTTTGAAGACTGCTGTCTGCAGGTGCTCCTGCCTCCTATTGTGTAGGTTGCAGCATACTATGGACTATGCCTGCAGCTTAGGCATTTCTGCCTTAGTCATGGTTTTCATGATCACTGGGATGCCTATAGGTTTCTGGAAACTTTTAGGGGGTCTTTTAACATAATGGGTTTTAACTGATGCTACAGTGGAACCTCGGTTTTCATGATTATTTCGTTCCAGAAAGTCTGACGAAAACCGAATTGTGCAAAAACTGAAGCAATATTTCCCATAAGAAATAATGTAAATCCAATTTAGTCTGTTTCAGACACCCAAAAATATTAACAAAAAATACATTTTATAGAGAATAACTATAGTTTTACATACAGAAAACAATGAGAAATTAATATAAATAACTAATGAAATGGATAAATGAGCATTTAACATCACGTTTACCTTTATTGAAGACCCTTGTTGGCGTATGGAAGACGGTGAGGAGAGAGGATGGAGAGGTCTGGAAGGGAAATCCCCTTCCATAAGGACTTCAGGTATCAAGGCCCTATCTGGGGGTTACCTCCCTTTGTCTTTTACTGGCACTAGGACCAGCTTGAGTCACTGTACCCATCACAGAAAAAATTCTGTCCAGAAAGGTCTGTTTCTGGCATCTCTTAAGATTTGCCTAAAATGGGACACGACATTGTCATTGAACAGGTTGCAGACACGGCTTGCAACAGCATTGCTAGGGTGATATTTCTCCAAAACTTTGCAGCTCACTCCACTTTGCACACTTTCTTAATCACTGAAGAAGGCACGTTCTCCCCTCTTCCTCTGAAGCAATTTCCTCGGCTCTGATCTGTTGCAGCTCTTCCACATCCTGGCCACTCACCTCCAACCCCATGGACTTCCCCAAAGTTGCAATAGATTCCACAACAGGCGTAGAGTCGTCAGGGTCAGCCTCGAACCCTTCAAAATCCTTCTCTTGGGTACATTGTGGCCAGTTTTCTCCAAGCAGAGTTCATCGTCCTGGAAGTCACTTCCTGCCAAGCCTTATCTATAAGGCTTGTGGAATTGAGGATACTGAAGTGATTCCTCCAGAACTTAGGGTAAATTAGTGTCCGAGGTGACTTCAAAGCACCTTTGAAACATTGCTTTGGGGTAGAGTTTTTTTGAAGTTTGAAGTGACCTGCTGGTCCATGGGCTGGATGAGCAGTATTAGGTATTGGTCTTCAAAGTCTGGAGGATAAGCAGGAGCATTGTCCGTTGCCAGGAGGCACTAGAGTGGCAATTGATTTTCCAAGAGGCATTTCTTCACACTCGGACCAAACACTTCATTGACTGTCTCAATGAAAATTTGCCTCGTGACTCATGCCTTATTGTTAGCCTTAGCAGTGCCCTTTCCTCCTGCGTGATGTAGGTCCTCTGGCATTTTCTTCCAAAAGGAGGTCTGTTTTGTCACAATTGAAGACTTGTTTGGGGAGGAATCTTTCAGCCTCTACATACTCCTTGAATTCATCAACGAATTCTTCGGCCACGTTTCTGAACTTGCAGCCTTAACACATTGTACGTCAGATGGCTTCTTGAATTTACCGAACCAGCCTCTGCTGGCCTTAAATTCACTAACAGCAGCAATCGTTCCAGGCATTTTCTTTACGAGATCCACATGCAACTACCTTACCTTTTGAACATCAAAATGGTATAGGCAACAGTTAGGCAACTTTATTCCGAAACGTTTCGCCTACTGTGTAGGCGAAACGTTTCGGAATAAAGTTGCCTATGTGTCTTACCTACCTACCTTACCTTTTCACAAATTTATACTCCAAAACACTATCTCCCACTAACCGTTTTTCATTGGTCCACACCAACAACTTCTCTATCATCGATTGTTTGCAATCTGTTTCATTAGCACATACCCCTTTAGCAACATCAGCTTCCTTGATTTCTTTTTTTCTTTGCCAAGATGGAACTGATTGTTTATGCGGATTTCCAGTACATTCTGGTGAAATCGGCCACCCGTATGGCACTTTCGTACTTAGCTATGACATCTTTTTTAAATTCTATTGTTTCTTTTGCCTTCTTTCTCAAAGGGCTGGCACTCGGAACTTTCTTTAGTCCCGTGGTGGCTTATTTAGCAGTTGCGCTCTATAAAAAGAAATGTTTTGGCTGAATGTGCGGGGCGATGCTCGCTCAACGATTAACAAAGGCAGACTGAGTCACTCAGTGCTTGAGTGGGGTAGTGACGCAGGTGGATGCATTCAGTACGGACCATTGTCAACTCTACGAAAACAGGCAAAATTTCGACAGGAGTCGTCGAAAACCAAGGTTCCACTGTACTCGTTTTAACTTGACACAAGCGTGTCGAGTGCTTATGCTCGGCTTTCATTTAATTTCATTTTGTTGACGTTTGTAAAATATTTTTACTGTACTCGGTGACCTACATAGTAAAAGTGCTCTGAAAATATCACTACTGTCTTAGTTTAGACAGGATATGGGTGTCTGGCCTTCTTACAATCCCAGAGATAATCCCTGGACACTAAGGATAAGCTAAGGGCACCTCACCCAGTTCTTTATTTGCAGGTGTCCTTGGCCCTCCTGTGGGACTTTGGGCACGTTGACTGATAAGACAGTACGAAAATTTTAGGCTAATGCTGTTAACAATACTATGACCATAGCTGATACTCAATTTTAAGCAGAAAATGGGCACACCTTACTGTTAACCGACACACAGTATACCATTTTGTAACTGCTGTTTAATTAAAAATTTGACTAGAACATCTGATTATAATCTGTAATTTTAGGCTCTAATTTTAGTAGTAAAGAGGAAATGTTAATGTCCATGGGGAATGTGTTCAGACACTTAACTTTTGAATAGTTTTCAGGAATGCACTAAACTGGGTCCATATTAATACTATGTATTGGAGAGCACTGTTTTTGGATGTACCCTAACTTTTTAACAAAGTAACCTATTATACATCCACTATTATTACAATCAGAACTAAATACTAAACCCTCAAGGGTCACACCTTCACAAACTTTTAACTCTGGCAACTTCAGCACTGACCAATAATTGTTTTAAGCTGTACATGCATACTTTTCAAGAGGGTAATGAAAATGCTTTTTTTTTTTTTTTTTTTTTTTTTTTTTGTAATGTTGATTATAAAACTTCCCGTCACTTTTAGATGGACTGCAAGTTAGATATCTTCTGTCCTGATCTATCTGTACTTGGATGTGGATGATTCTTGGTATTATCGTCCCTGTTTTGGACCCAGGTGACAAGTGAACTACATAGGCACCACACAAGGATTGCTAAACATGCAGGGCACTCGCCTAACTCAACACAGTGGTCTTCAAGGGGTTCTGATGCTGTTGAAGGATTCTTGATAAGGAGTTGAAACTATTCTCCCCATCCTTATATCAGACCCGTTTTCCCCCCTCGCCCCTTCAGTTTCCCACGTGTTATGAACCTTACGAGTTTAATATTTTCCATAAACAAAGCCAAACAGTCATCCCTGCCCTACGTCATTAATTGGTTTCAGAGCTGTGACTTAACCCGACCTTTGGTGTAAACTGGGTTATGTCACTGCTCTTGGAACCAATAAATGTGCCTTAAAATGACGATAAATACAGTAAAGTGTAAATAGCTCGTGAAAGAATATAACTATTGCTAAACTTTAAAGAACACTAAAAACACAGTCATACGTTTTAAAGAATAATGAACAAAAAAATTGACATGTTGCTGAATAAAGCAATGATCACTGAACTGAAATTCTCTAGAAAAGTGGCGTAAAGGCGAATTTGACGTAGGCCAAAATGACAGAGTACGACTATATTTAAGGTTGAAGGGTGTGTGCAGTTAAATTTACACTGCACTCGAGAGGACCAGAGTTATTAGATCTGTCCCAAGGAAATAAATTATAATAATGCGCTAAACCCACTATCCCCCCCACCCACCCCCGTCAAGGGAGGCTCCCTGATGCCCATTGGCCTGGCTGTCAAAGCTCACTTCACACACTGAAGGTCCAGGTTTGCTTCCCAGCAGGGTAGAAACATTCGATGTGTTTCCTTACACCTGCTGTCCTGTTCACCTAGCAAGTAGGTACCTGGGTGTCAGTCGATTGGTGTGGGGTGTATCCTGGGGGGGGGGGGGGGGTTTAAGATTGAGGACTCCAGCGGAAATCAAGTCCCTCGACACACTGCCTTTCTTGGATTATGCTGGGTGGCTAACACTCTGGGGTTAAAAATCTGAACAAAATCTTATCTGAGGAACACTTTGTGTAAGGAATTAACCTATGCCCCAATTCCTTGAATAGTCTGAATGCCTTCTATTACCTTGGGTGTTGTAAGATCCCCTACAGGTAGTGCTCACTGAATGTAATAATAAATTCCAGATGATGTATCGACCAAAACTAATGGAGGGAACACTCCCAACTAAGATATATAATTTAGAACAATGCATCCCCTCCATGATGCTGGTGAGGGGTTCATGATCTAAGGAATTGGACCTTGAATCAAGACTGAATGTCTTGAATTTCCCCAGGCACTGTATGGCCCCCTATGGGTTAAGCCCTCCCCATGCCTGTAATAACTGCAGCAGCAGTAAAGTAAAAAATTATGAAATATGATTTGCAATCTCATAACACTTGTATTACAATCAAAATTAAGTGCTAAACCATCAGGGTCATACAGCAAACACTACTGTATAAAAAAAAAAAATAGGATCTGAACCCACTAAGAGCCAGTCTATATAAATTTTTCACCAGGTATATCCCCACCCCCACCCTTTTTAAATTTTGATTTGAAAATTACAAACCTCTGGATTATTCAGTGTTGCACAGTATATGGGAATCTGCTTTAATACTTTCAGGGTCAAGACCCCTGATCTCAAATTTGCTCTCAAAGTTGAAGAATTTTCAAAATGAAAATAAAAATTATGATATGAGAGAATTTTTTTCTAAAGGTAATGAAACCGAAAGTACGAAATTTGACGAAAAACTTTTGAATTGCGCTCTTGCAAAGTTAGCAATCTCGGTAATATTTATGCATCAGCGATTTTGCCCATTTTGTGCCCCATTTTTGGCTAATTCCATTGTTCGTCTACCAAACTCGGCTCTTTTGCTAGTATTCCCTTTATTGAATGAGAGAAGAAAGTGCCCATTTACCCATTTCAACTACCCAATAGTGATCAGTAATTTGACCAATTTCACAAGTCAAAAATTGCCAATTTAAAAATAGGGTCCAGAATAAACAATGTAGACATTCCTGGCACTAAAAACATTTACTCTGTTCCTTAGTCACATCTCCAGGCCATTCTTATATTATGCATGCTTTCCATTTTGAATTTTTATCCCCTCGAGGGAGGTTCCTTGATGCTGGTGAGGGGCTCTTGATCTAGAAGATTTACTGTTATGAAGACTACTGCATTATTATAATAATTGTATAAATAATGTCAGTGCATTCCTAAATGAGTATTAGACTGGCAAGCTGGACGCGTATTGGATAAGTGACGTCGCCTGTATACTCTGGAATATTGGCAATAATCAAACATTTCCGCTACTCTGAGCTCAATTTCAAGCTACCTTCAGTCCTGAAACCAATCAAAATCATCTCTATTTCTGTATTATATCTTCTATCAAATGAGACCAAGAAACCGAGAATACAACCATAAAGACCATATGAAAATATACAGCAGTCCCTATTTTAAACCAAAAACTTGTTTTTTTTTTTTTCATTATGCACTGCATGCTGCAGGATTATTTTTTTTTATATGGTGCACACTTGCTGCATAGACGTATTCTTTCATATCAAAGCCCAAATTTAACGCTCACAGCTTATCTGAACTGAGTTCATGGCGTTGTACTACAGGACCAACACTGGCTTCAAAACCATTGTATAACGGGACCGACAACGAAAGGGTTGAAGGCACCTCACGGAGGGCAGCCAGAATAAGTGTATTAGGGTATTTAAGTAAAAAATTAGGTTTACTCTTATGAAATGTTTGAGTTTCCAGCACACATTCATGAGCAGTTTTACACTGCCATCAAAAAGTGGAGAAATACCAGCCACTTATAGGAGGCTGAAAAATGAACTGCAGAATATACATAATTTAACTTCATTACTATATCATGAATACCAGGATGGCCAAAACCTAGAAAACAGATTAGAAACAGCAAGCCTCGACTGTGAAAAATCACAGGCCTAAAATTGCTCTGGCAGTCTGGATTAACAAATGAAGCAGAGGTGGAAACAATGAATATGACTGCAACAAGTAGTGCACACAACAACTATGCAAATTATCATTTTAAACTAGGTATTTTTAAATCACAATGAGCAAAAAAAAAAAAAAAAGCATATTGTTTAATTATAGGATTGGAACTATTGGTATATTTTCAAGTACATGTATATACCCAGTAGTTGGGCAACATCATTTGATTAATTTGGTTTCAAAATAATGTTCTCAGATCCATAACCATTACACCGTAGATGAAAAATACTAAACATTTATTAAGAGAAAATCATCAGGTCACTGGAAAAACACTGAAATAAAACCAAAACCAAATCAAAACTTTTTACGAATAAAAAGTTGCTTTTCACTACTAGTAGCTTCTTCTGGAGGCTTAGTCTGAAAGATTTCGTTTGTGGGATCACCACGATAAGGCTCCTTGGGCGCTCTTCTCTTAAAGCCTTCTTTCTGATGTACTTTCTTAATGTATTTGGAAGCCCCAACCTTACGTTTCTCACGTCGCATCTGTTAAAAAATTTTATATTCAGTTTCTTAAGGATTAAGAAAATAATCCTTATAGTAATGTGAAATTAATTTTAAGATGTTGTAAAGAATTGTAATTTAGAAAAATAGCCTGCATAAAATGCTAGAAAATTATTTTTATATAAACTAGATCAAGTGTTTACATTGAAGCACATATGTGAACAGTATTTAGATAAAGGTAGGGAAGTTTTTATTGCATTTATGGATTTAGAAAAGGCATATGATAGAGTGGATAGAGGAGCAATGTGGCAGATGTTGCAAGTATATGGAATAGGTGGTAAGTTATTAAATGCTGTAAAGAGTTTTTATGAGGATAGTGAGGCTCAGGTTAGGGTGTGTAGAAGAGAGGGAGACTACTTCCCAGTAAAAGTAGGTCTTAGACAGGGATGTGTAATGTCACCATGGTTATTTAATATATTTATAGATGGGGTTGTAAAGGAAGTAAATGCTAGTGTGTTCGGGAGAGGGGTGGGATTAAATTTTGGGGAATCAAATTCAAAATGGGAATTGACACAGTTACTTTTTGCTGATAATACTGTGCTTATGGGAGATTCTAAAGAAAAATTGCAAAGGTTAGTGGATGAGTTTGGGAATGTGTGTAAAGGTAGAAAGTTGAAAGTGAACACAGAAAAGAGTAAGGTGATGAGGGTATCAAATGATTTAGATAAAGAAAAATTGGATATCAAATTGGGGAGGAGGAGTATGGAAGAAGTGAATGTTTTCAGATACTTGGGAGTTGACGTGTCGGCGGATGGATTTATGAAGGATGAGGTTAATCATAGAATTGATGAGGGAAAAAAGGTGAGTGGTGCGTTGAGGTATATGTGGAGTCAAAAAACGTTATCTATGGAGGCAAAGAAGGGAATGTATGAAAGTATAGTAGTACCAACACTCTTATATGGGTGTGAAGCTTGGGTGGTAAATGCAGCAGCGAGGAGACGGTTGGAGGCAGTGGAGATGTCCTGTTTAAGGGCAATGTGTGGTGCAAATATTATGCAGAAAATTCGTAGTGTGGAAATTAGGAAAAGGTGTGGAGTTAATAAAAGTATTAGTCAGAGGGCAGAAGAGGGGTTGTTGAGGTGGTTTGGTCATTTAGAGAGAATGGATCAAAGTAGAATGACAAGCATATAAATCTATAGGGGAAGGAAGGCGGGGTAGGGGTCGTCCTCGAAAGGGTTGGAGAGAGGGGGTAAAGGAGGTTTTGTGGGCAAGGGGCTTGGACTTCCAGCAAGCGTGCGTGAGCATGTTAGATAGGAGTGAATGAAGACGAATGGTACTTGGGACCTGACGATCTGTTGGAGTGTGAGCAGGGTAATGTTTAGTGAAGGGATTCAGGGAAACTGGTTATTTTCATATAGTCGGACTTGAGTCCTGGAAATGGGAAGTACAATGCCTGCACTTTAAAGGAGGGGTTTGGGATATTGGCAGTTTGGAGGGATATGTTGTGTATCTTTATATGTGTATGCTTCTAAACTGTGTATTCTGAGCACCTCTGCAAAAACAGTGATAATGTGTGAGTGTGGTGAAAGTGTTGAATGATGATGAAAGTATTTTCTTTTTGGGGATTTTCTTTCTTTTTTGGGTCACCCTGCCTCGGTGGGAGACGGCCGACTTGTTGAAAAAAAAAAAATAAATAAATAAACTAAGGAGTGTGACTAGAACCTTTTAAAACAGAAAAACCATTCTAAGCATGAAGAACACGTCAGCATTCCAAAATATAAAGAAAAATTATCATCCTGTAAGAGCAATGCGGAGACAGTCGAGTTTGTCATCTGCCAAATATGAAGTGGTTAAAAGTTATTAGGCAGAAACTAATAATAATCAGAGAACCCTCTGGGATTGGTTGGTGACAGGCTTTAGGTAGTATTCACTATAGATAAAAGTTTTAGCACAAATAAATTGCAGATGGAGGAGGACTTAGAAAAGGTAGGGGAATGTAGACCAAGTGTTTACACTGAAGTGAATAATATTTAGATAAAGGTAGGGAAGTTTTTGTTGCTTTTATGGATTTAGAAAATACATTAGATAGGGAAGCAATGTGGCAGATGTTGCAAGTGTATGGAAAAGGTGGTAGGTTACTGAAAGGTGTTAATTAAGTTTTCATGAGGCTCAGGTTAAGGTATGTAGCAGAGAGGGAGATTACTTCACAGTGAAAGTAGGCCTTAGACAGAGATGCATGATATCACTTTGGTTGTTTACCATTTACAGATGGGGTTCTAAAAAAGTGAAGAGTAGAACAGTTTCACATGATAATTAATGTGTGTGCAATAGTGTCTGGTAGTGAAAGCATGAGCCTCAGTGGAATAAGCAACTTTTAAACTACAATTTCTTGCCACTATAAATGTTAGTAAAATTGCTAAGAAAAATTTAAAAGGTAGCCAAACTCAAATTACTTTCTTATGCTGGAATTAATTTAAGATTATCACTGTGGAGCCACTTTGGTTCTTTATAGGCAATGAGTTACTCTTTATAAATGAAATTTGTAAATAAATAAGCTTTTAACAGAAAATGGATAAAATATAAACTTATTTTAATGCACAGATTTTGTTACAGTGGATAACTAGCTGAGATGTATACAAAACATAATTTATCTATGCAAAACCAAAAGGCCAATTATCTTACCACATTGGGGTTTATAAAATGTGGGTTCTCCCAAAAAGTAATTCCTCCAAAACTGCTATCAAACACCTTAATCGGGTCTAGAACAAATCTGGGACCTGTGAAAATAATGTGATCATATTAATATATCTCCAATCATTCTTTATACTACTGTATCTAACTATCCACTAGCCTCTTTACTCTAAATGGTATACAAGTTGCACTGTCACACAAAAAAAATACAATGTACTCCCAACTTAGTTTATATTTACTGAAAATTTACACTACTTGAAGGGTGGATAAATATTTCCCTTAGTTTAGTTCAGTGTTTCATCAGATTCCTATAAACAATCATATGCTCAATTTTATACATGGTCCATCACAGATTCAAACCATCTAAGATATGAAATGAATCAGTAATTTACTTTTATTTTCAAATTTCCATGAACCCATTCTAGTGTTCCTGTCTTTTGTTCATGAGCCAGACAGGGTCGTGATTAGTGAATGAAGGTTTGAGCTTCTACCACTGAATGACAAGAAATACAACATGAACCCATTCACCAATTGCAGGTTTCATTTTACTCTTATACTGGTGAACAGTTCTTGATTCAAGGAATTGGAGTTACCCTATCTCTATCCTCAGATCAAACCTGACTATCTCCCATTCCCATGAACTCCATGAGTTTAGATAATGATAATAATAATAATAATATTAAAAATAATCCCTTTTTGTGGTTAAGCCCCTAAATATATTTCACAAGTCTACATTAAAACAATTCTCTCCTCTAGCCTCTACATTTATATAATAATAATCTCATCTACTTTATAGACATTTAATATAACTTTCGTTTATAATTTCAAAAAATTAGTCTTTCTTCTGTTACACATGTAAAGTACAAACAGCCTTCTCAAAGTCAGCTATCTTCTAAGATATTTTTAATTAGTATGCTAAGTCACAGTCACAGAAGCAGCCAGTATTCTGAGGCATAACTTACAGGAAAACTGGTTTCGAGACAGAAATCTGTGGCAAGTTAAAAGGTGGCTGATTATCAAGTTAATTTCATATTAAGTTAAATTCTTCAGCCATAAAACAGGACTCTTCATTTTATTTTCTAATGCAAATTTCCTGCAACTTCTGGAGACTGTTGTCTAATAAAGCAGAGCTACACTAACTTTTCATTATAAAGGAAGAACAATACTTAGAATTAAAAAACTGAACAAAAGTAATAAAACCACTAACCAATCTCAGAGAGCTTCCCATCCATTCCTAATATTTCATAGTTGCGGAACCAAATTTTATTATCTAGGATGGAGAAAGTTAAAACATGGTCATGAAAAGGTTGGCTTTTTGGGTGGTGGTTTGGGGTACCAAAACTCTGCACAAAAAGCTCCTTCATCACTGACCAATGGGGTTCATCAAAGGCAGGATCAAAACTTAAGAATGGTCTTGATCCCTTTAGACAATTGCCAGTCATCTTGAGTTCTTTCATGGTGTGTGCTGAAAATTAAGAACATAAGACAACAATTATAGTTTTGTTTGAAAAAAAAAAATTCTATGAAATTCTACGAAGTTTCACACTCTGAGAGGAAATTTTCAATACGTATAGTAATAAGAAGCCCATGAAGCTATTTCATTATGGTAGGACTCCAACTTACAAACACTTTAATTATGATGATTGGTAAAGAGAGTGAGTGAGAGTGAGTGTGAGTGTGTGTGTGTGTGTGTGTGTGTGTGTGTGTGTGTGTGTGTGTGTGTGTGTGTGTGTGTGTGTGTGTGTGTGTGTGTGTGTGTGTGTGTGTGTGTGTGTATGTGTGTGTGAGAGAGAGAGAGAGAGAGAGAGTGTGAGTGTGTGTGTGTGTGTGTGTGTGTGTGTGTGTGTGTGTGTGTGTGTGTGTGTGTGTGTGTGTGTGTGTGTGTGTGTGTGTGTGTGTGTGTGTGTACACTCACCTAGTAGAGGTTGCAGGGGTCGAGTCCAAGCTCCTGAGGGGTGTGTGTGTGTGTGTGTGTGTGTGTGTGTGTGAGAGAGAGAGAGATAGAGAGAGAGATAGACAGAGAGAGATAGACAGAGAGAGATAGACAGAGAGAGATACAGACAGAGAGAGATAGACAGAGAGAGAGAGATAGACAGAGAGAGAGAGATAGACAGAGAGAGAGAGATAGACACAGAGAGAGAGATAGACAGAGAGAGAGAGAGAGAGAGACTGGCTTATGCATAGAGATCTGCAGTTACAAACATCTATGACACATTCTTTATACTGTTGTTTTCTATTGGATAATAAGTTCAGGATTGTACATGACTTGCTTGTAAGTTGAAACAGGAATGCAACTCATTCTAAACCCTTTCAGTGTCAGTTCCATTGTGTCACAGCTTTGACACTAGTGTCAGTCCTGTAGTATAATGCCATGAGCACCGCTCACTCAGATAATTTGTGAGTGGTAAATTTGGGCCTAGATATGAGAGAATGGGTCTATGCAATAAATGTGCACCATATAAAAAAATCCTGTAGCATGCAGTGCATGAGAAAAAAATTGGAACTTTTTGGTTTAAAACACATTTTGCAATGTATTTTTGTATGGTTTTTATGGATATATTCCCAGTGTTTTAGTCTCATTTGATAAAATGGAAGATATATTACAGAAATAGAGAAGATTTTTATTAGTTTCAGGACTGAAAGTAGCTTGGAATTGAGCTCAAAGTAGCGGAAATGTTTGATTTTTGCCGATAATCCAGAGTACAGGTCACTTGTCCATTACACATCCATCTAGCCAGCCTAATATGCATTGAGAAATGAAATGACATTATTTACACAATTATTACAACAATATAGTAGTGTGCATAAAAGTAAATTTTCTATTTTTTTTGTGAAAAAAAAAATTCAAAATTAAAAGCAAGCGTAATATAATAGGGGCCTGGTGATGTGACTAAGGAGCAGAGGAAATGTTTATTTAGTGCTAGGAATGTCTACATTGTTTATTCTAGACCCTGTTAGGTAAGACACATATGCAACAGTTAGGTATCTTTATTTTGAAACGTTTCGCCTACACAGTAGGCTTCTTCAGTCGAGTACAGAAAAGTTGATAGAAGCAGAAGATACTTGAAGATGATGTAATCAGTCCATCACCCTTAAAGTTTTGAGGTGGTCAGTCCCTCAGTCTGGAGAAGAGCATTGTTCCGTTGTCTGAAACAATATGAAGTTGAAGTGACAGGATGGAGCCTTTTATAATGCCAGGAGGTGAGACGTAGGTTGCGTTGGGAGGGCAGGTCCCTCTCAAACCCAGCCGTTCTCACTTGTAGAGATTGTCGAAGTTGATGGTCTGTATCTTGGTACAGACCATCAACTTCGACAATCTCTACAAGTGAGAACGGCTGGGTTTGAGAGGGACCTGCCCTCCCAACGCAACCTACGTCTCACCTCCTGGCATTATAAAAGGCTCCATCCTGTCACTTCAACTTCATATTGTTTCAGACAACGGAACAATGCTCTTCTCCAGACTGAGGGACTGACCACCTCAAAACTTTAAGGGTGATGGACTGATTACATCATCTTCAAGTATCTTCTGCTTCTATCAACTTTTCTGTACTCGACTGAAGAAGCCTACTGTGTAGGCGAAACGTTTCAAAATAAAGATACCTAACTGTTGCATATGTGTCTTACCTAACAATCTGTCGGTATTTTATACCATTTTAATGTTTATTCTAGACCCTATTTTGAAGTTGGCAGTTGTTGAATTTTGTGTGAAATTGTATTCATTCGACAGAATAGAAGGAATACAAGCGAAATACCAATGAGTTTGGTCAATTGGATACAATGGAATTGGCCAAAAATAGAGCTTAAACTGGGCAAAACTGCCGATGTGTAAATATCGCCAAGACAGCTAACTTTGCGAGAGCATAATTCCCTAAGTTCTCCATCCAATTTTGTACTTTTGGTTTCATTACCTTTTGAAAAAAGATTCTTTATCATTTCATAAGATAAAATATATTTTTTTTTTTTTTTTTTAAATTTTTGACCCTGGGAGCAACTTTGAAAGCAGGAGTCGCAACACTAAAAGGGTTAAGTTGCGGTTCTACTGTGTTATAACTCTTGTTCCACTTGAAGCCAGTAATGGGCTTTTCATTCAAGGAACTGGACCTCATCTTTCTTGAAGTGAACCAGATTACCTACTATCTTAAGACACTGCATGACCCCTTTGGGCTTAATGCTTCTGATAATAATAATAAATTATAATAGTACTGTAATTTTTTTTTAACTCAATGGGCACAACCTACCAAGGCAGGGTGACCAAAAAAAGAATACTAGTACTAATAATACTACTGTCATAATAATAATAATAATAATAATGGAGTAGTAATAATAATATTATTAATAATAAAAAGTACCTTCAGGCATTAAAATATTCCTCAGCATACTGGGCACTGTACCCATCAGTTTACAGGTTTTTCTTTATGTTGTATTCTGTACAAAAACTTGAACATACCACCCTTCAAGGGAGGTTCCTTGATGCTGGTGAGGGGCTCTTGATCTAGGGAGTTGGATCTGTGCTCCAGTTCCCTGAATTGAGCCTGAATGCTTCCCATCCCCCCCCCCACATGCGCTTCATAATCCTACGGGTTTAGCGCTCCCCCATAATTATAATAATTGAACATGTCACATTGGATCATTAAAAACAAGCCTTGTATTGTTACTGAGTATTGTACATCCCCATCTTCTAAATTTACAACAAATTTTTTGTAGGTTACTAACAAACTGGCAGACTTACACATAATCTTTAACTACAGGTTGTGCTCCGGGTTATCTCGTGTTTTCACGGTCGCTCTTATGTGCTAGAACTTTAATTAGTGTCATCAATCCTATACGATACATCCCTCTAGCGCCTGGAACCAATCTTGGGCGGAAAACATTATATACTGAGTCAAAAAAGGAGAATTAGTGTGCACTACCTAGCAGAGTTTACTGCCAGAGGGGAATCATAGGCCTGTGTCCCGTGTGGAAAAAAATAATAATAATTGAACTTTTCGTGTCAGAGGAAAGAAAGTCTCCCTGATAACATTGAGTATACATAGTGTATAGTGTATACTACAGTGGCTCCCTAGTATATTGATGATAAAGGCTAAAGTGTCATTTGAAAACAGGTGAATTTGTAAATGAAGTGATAAGCCTATAGAGGCAGGTGCCAGAAGTCGCCAGAAACTTACCACAGGTCAGCTGTTTTTAAAAATCTTCCTGGCTTGCTAGTGTACTCGTATATAATCTAGTGATACCAGTGAATAGCAGAATACAGTGTTGTAGTAGCAACTAACCAGTATTATAATGGTACTTAGTGGAGTGGAGTGACTTTCATTAGTTTCTTTTTCTTGAAATACGAGACGTTACTGTGAATTTCATATAACCTGTAGTTACCAGCGGTCGCAATATACACAACGAGAAGCAATTATTACTACAGAAAAAGCGTCCTTCCTCCAAAATTTGCACCAGTCAACTATAGTGATAATATAGCATTTATTGTGGTGGAGACAAAAAAAAAAATAGAAAAGCCAGATACAGCGATTGATAAACAAGGGTGGAGGTCGACCGTTCGTCATTGTAGGAGCTGCCAGATATCACCGGCTCTTCAACACGCAAGTTATACTTTTGCATCAGTCAAATCACATATTACTCGGGTAGATAATTTCCAGTAGATCCTTCATGTGTTAGCTCAAATCACCGACCAGTATGTTTTAAATAAGTGACCCACTGATCAGAGCAGATCGACTGGTCCGAACCCTTGACTGGTCCGAACCCTTGACTGGTCCGAACCCGGGACTGGTTTCAAACAGTTTCGTTGGACAATAAAGCAGACTGTAAACGGATGGGGTTGTAGGCGCCCTTATAAACACAAACATTAAAAATCAGGAACGTGACGGTAAGCTGTCCAATATACAAAAAGAGTTAGAAACAGAAATACAAATAGCTAGAGCTTCATTTAAGGTTATTAATATAAAAATTCAAGAGGTTGCTAGTAGAATTGCAGTAAATCAACCATTCAAATCATTATGAAGCTGTGTGTAGTCTGTGGTCAGTCAAACAAACGGGCTTCCACATGGATAAATTGTCATTTTTGTGGAAATTGGTGTCACGCCCCTTGTGCAGATATCCCAGAACTAGCTACAAGCAGTATTAAAACAGAGAAGTGTTTTTGGGTATGCCCAAATGAGGAAAATCTGTGGACTAAAATCACAAGGGTATTAAAAGAGGACAACATCAAAGCTGCTTTCATAGAAAACCTGGAAGCTTTCTACAACAGATGGGAACATAAAAAGTCTGGGCTGAATGGTACTGCCCTTGATACTGGCCATGTAGTCACAAACTGTAAGGCTGGAGGTGATGTCCTGGTAGTCAGTAAATGTGGGGCTGATAGTGCTGTCCTGGGAAGACAGTAATGGTGAAGCTGGAGGTGCTGTCCTGGGAGACAGAAATGGTGAAGCTGGAGATACTGTCCTGGGAGACAGTAATGGT